TAAGCCAAATGACATATAACTTTTCCCAGAGAACTAAGAATTAGGTTTACTCACCAACAATTTTTGCTGTGCTTTAAGGGCTTTGACAACCTGTACTTGCACTTCTCTGGGATACTGATTACGCTTGGAAGCTACCTCTACTATTAACTCATCTAGCCGATCTTCTAGGAGTTTGATGTCCGCATCTAATTCAAAAGAAAAATATTAAAATTTAATACATGAAAATGAAGTGTGTGAACAGTTTGTCTGCAAGTTCTCTGCAAGAAGAGTGCTTTGTCCCAGAAAGACTTTGAGCCAAGTGGATCCTAGGAATGCACAGCTGAAGAGTCTTCCCACCCTGCTCCCAGAGAAAGAAATACATTTGACTTCAGTAATCAAATAAGAACTAAAAATGGAAAGATATATAACACCACCTTGATGAAGAAAGCAAGGCCAGAATTTATGCCTCAACTAGCATAATCAAGTGCAGTTTTAGTTGCAGTTCAAAACTGTTGTGATCCTTTTAGTTGCAATTCACAACCACTTAGAGGTGAGGGGAGCTAGAACACCATTATGAACAGACAGTTCTATTCCACTCGTAGCTTGAAAGTGTCACTATATATGCATAAAAAATCCAAAAGTTAGTGACCACAATGTTTTTGTTCACTAGTATAAATGTGAAAATAAGATGAACTTGATCTAAGCCTCCTGAATGACAGCAAATACTTTAATTAGCTTCTTCTAGTCTAAAAATGAAGTTCTTAATTCATTATTTATTAAAAATCCATGCGATTTAGAGGCAGAGGAATAAGGGACATTAAGGGCATAGGAATAGTCTTCAGTGATTAAAATAAATGCCTTTTATTTCTTCTCAATTGAAAGAGAAGTAAGAGTATGTCAATTATAAAATGCTGGCACTCTCCCCAAAATTTCTTTAGGACTCCATGAATATATGAGCCACAGCTCAAACAAAATTACTAATAGATGTCAGATTAGCTTTTAGATAAGGTGTTTATTTCACTGAAAAGATAGGGAAAACACAAAGTGCCTCATCATGGTACTAGACGACTAATACATTTATTATGACATAAGCTAACATCCACTTCCTCTCCTCAATAGTGGCTTGCTATGTTGATATTTGTGTTAACTTGTTACCAAAAATAACTTGATGCAAGACTTCTTGTTGATTTTGTTGCAATGAACTAACAAGGGTATGCTGTAGGAGCCCTACTGATACTGACAGCTGTCTATTTTGAGTTCCCTCTACTGGATGAATATGGTAAAACAAAACAAAAATACTTGTTTGGAGACCCACAAAAATACTAGATGGGGTACCAACTAATTTCTAGGAATATTTAGGAGGAGAAATCAACACCATTCAATGAACATTCTGCTTCACATTTAGAATTAGAGCTCACTTTTACATTACATAACCACTACGCTAAAGTGTACTGTATACATATTCCCTACAGATATTTAAGTTGTTTCAGACCTTTTTTAAAACAAAACGGCACTTCTGAAATATATTAACTTTTGCACCACTCTTCATCTTAATTTAAATGTGGACTGCAATAGGCTCAAGAGTTTATTGCTCGGAGTGCTATATCATTATAACTGAACTGTTTTAATAGCTTTTTATCTTTTTAATTCTACCGCATTTTTTAACCAGAGTTTGAATTGTTTTAATGTTGTAAAAAGTTTAATTCTATTTTAAAGTGAACTTTTGGTATGTTTTTCAATGTATTTTTTTTAAATTGTGAGCCACTTTGAGTTCCAGGTTTGAGAAAAACAGATGATGATGATGATGATGTGTGCCTTCAAATAGTTATGTACCAAGGAAGAGACAAAAAGTATCTGCAAGGAGGAAAATAGTGTTTCTCCTAAATTTAAACTAACAATAGTTCCTTATGTGAAGTCAAAGGCTTTCACGGCCAGCATCTATAGGTTTTTGTGGTTTTTCGGGCTGTGAGGCCATGTTCTAGAAGAATGTAATTCTGACGTCTCACCTGCATCTATGGCTGGTATCTTCAGAAAATGGTGGCATGGAGGTGTGTGGGGTATATATACTGTGCGACCCTTGGTTGAGAGGATTAGCATGTAAATCTGTGTATTGTTCTGTTGATGCAAGGCCTCAGAGTGGGAGGATATGCGAAGAGGATTAGTGTCTATTTAATTAATGGTCTATTATCATAGTTCTTTATGTCCAAAACCCAAAGAAACTCTGCTTAATTGAAACTTTAAACAATGGTTTGGGAAGGCATAACCATAAGCCATGGTTTAATCTTGGCTTGTTGAACAAGCCACAGTGTAATTTAAACAATATAGATAATAAAAAACTGATTAGTTCAAGAGTTGGAGTTTGTCATTTCCAGTGACCACAAGCATAAAACCCATTTTTGAGTCTGGTATTATTATTGTTATTGTTGTTATTTATTTATTTATATCCCACCCCTCTGCAGAGCAAACGGGGCAGCTAACAACATTAAAATTTCCATACAGATATGTTAATACAATGTAAACAGAACCTAAAAATCCCAAAACCCACTCACCCCTTAAAAAGTAAGGGTTCTTCTTCTTAGACTAGGCCTGATGGAGATGGGCCTGCATCTCTCCCCCTGGATGATCTTATAATATCTTATAATATTCTTCAATGAAAACTGAAATATATTAATACTTGTGCACCAATGTATTATTACTAAAGCATAGGTGACCATTGCTAGAATCTAATTAGGTCACTATGCCAATGTAAATATTGTTGGACAAGCAGTTGTGCTTCCTCAGAAGTCCAATCAATCATTTTGCAAGTATACACTCAGCCCTCTCTTCTACTTTTCATCTGATAGGTGTAGAGTTGCAAAATGAGTGAATAGAAGACCAAGGCACCTGTTGCACAACTGTGGGATTCAGTATAATTGCACTGATACATATCTATGCAACACCAAAAGTATATAGAATTCTTGGCCCATTTGACTGATACAGGTATACCATATTTTTGAGGTTCATCTAAGTCTTGATTTCAAGCCCCACATTTTATTTTGTGTGGCAAATCTTAAAGTTTGCAAATAAAATACGCAAATGATTAGTTCAAATGCAAAATTTCTCAATAAAACAAATCAAAATCAGAAAAAGTAAAATAGTCCTTGCTTGCTGCTATATAGTTTTCTGAATTTTTTTAGTTAAACAAATGGATATATAATGAAGAGTGATGATTTTAATAAAAGTCACAAAATTAGTTACAACTGAAAGGAAACTAAACTAATTTGAGGAACAGGATAGGCTAAATTGCTTTCTTCAACCCAGGGGTAGGCAACCTTTCCCCTTTAAGGGCTGAGGGACTTCAGCTCCCAGAATCCCAGGAGCTACTGGCCAACATGGGACTATTGGCCAACATGGCTGAGGCTTCTGGGAGCTGAAGTCCCTCGGCCCTTAAAGGGGAAAGGTTGCCTACCCCTGCTTCAACCCAATGGGGCCACAATCCAACACTGTAAGAAGCACAATGCTTGTTTTTAAGGTAAGTTGTGCTTTCAAAAGGCATAATTTCCTTACCTCATTTTAAATGTTAATTTCACTAATATGGGGGAAATTGTGTGGTTTGCTGTCCAGACAAAATGTTGCTGCATAATGTCTGAATTTCCTTGTGTGTCGAGTCTTTAGATTGTAAGCATGAGGGCAGGGAACTGGTTTTGCTGCTGTTGTTTTTTTGTAAAGCGCCATGTACAGTGATGGCACTCTATAACTAGATCAGGGA